GAAGTGGTCAAACGAATCTCTGAAGCAGGCCTCAAGCTAAATCTGGCAAAATGCCAGTTTGGCCAGTTCAAAGTGAACTACCTGGGRTTCCAGGTCACAGCAGACTTGGGTCTCTCAGATGGCTACAGAGAAAAAGTTCAACAGATACAGCCACCCAGGTGTGAGAATGATCTGCAGAAAATCTTAGGCCTGTGYAACTACGTGAGAGATCACGTGCCAAACTACCAGAAATATGCAAAACCTTTGTACGCATGCCTGAGAAAATAAGCTGCAAAAGAGGGCCGAAAGGGCAAAGTGTGGTCATGGACACTCAAAAACCAGGCCGATCTTGACAAGCTGAAARAAGAAATCCAGAAAGCTGTCAGGCTTGAGCCCAGAAACTTGACCTCTAGGTTGGCAGCAGAAATATTCTGTGAAAATGAGGACGCTATGGTCAAGGTGAGTAACGATCAAGGAGGCCTAATCACATTGTGGAGTACAACGCTGACATCGGTGGAAAAGAAGTACCCTCAAGAAGAGAAAGAGTTGGCAGTATTGGCAAAATACTGGGGGTCGCTGAAAGATCTGGCCCAAGGTCAACCCATCAAAGTAACAACACAAAGTCAGGTACACAAATACCTGAGGAAAGGCACCATCGAGAGCACAAGAGCTACTAACACCAGATGGGGTRGGTGGGAAGACATTTTGCTGGATCCGGACCTAGAAATAGGGCCGGCACAATTACAGCAAAAGAAAACTACCACCACTACGCCTAAAGGTAAGACATATGAGTGGGTACTCTTCACAGATGGATCACGAAAAGGCCCTGATGAAACAGCGTACTGGGGTTACATCTTGACACAGAATGGAAGAGAACAACACAGAGCCAGAGGGAAAGTGAGTGGAAGCGCACAAGCTGGAGAAGTGACAGCAGTGTTGGAAGGATTGCTGGAACTCTCCAAAAGGAAAATCAAGGCAGCAAGAATAGTAACCGACAGTTACTATTGTGCACAAGCCTTGAAGGAAGACTTGTCAATTTGG